AAATCTCCTATTATCTCTAGATTTAGGAAATATGTGATGGTGTTGCACCAGTGGTAGCTTTATTTTATAACGCTTCACTAAAGTAAACATTTCTGGCCAATATACAGTATAACATATACATTCAACCTCAAGTTATTTATTTCATCAGTGATCCCTCAACATTATTGTAGTTTGTCACAGTAATAGCTAAGTTCCAGCTTTTCCTTTCTTCTTTTTGAAAAAGACAGCTTAATTGAGGTGCTGGAGCCATAAAATTGTATTCTTCTTATCTTCGAAGATTTTTGCACAGATTTGAATGTGCAGATGCTTTTCTCCTTTGAGTTTGTTTATCAAATGTTGTTTTAAAGTTCTACATTGAAAATTGTGTTACTGGTGGCTCTCGCAGTACAGTGCCCAGTTTCAATAGAGTGAATCATTTCATTTTTTGAAAAATATTTGTGTTGTTTATTTTGGAAAGGTGGATGCCTGGTTACACATGTAGAGTACACCTGAGGCAATTTGCAAGACGCATACATCTTGGGAGAGAACATTTTTTTGGACAGGACAGCATCGGGTGTTGGCTGGCCTTCCAGTGCACCACCAACTGTTCAGCTTCCTCCTCTCTCTCGATCTTTCATCCTCTGCCAACATGGCTTAGCACTTGTGGGTCCTTCTCCAAACATCATCTCCATGCAAGCCTGGTAGTTGGCTCGCCATGCATGTTTTGTGAAGCAGTTTTGCATGGTGGGAGTTGATGTCTTTCGATTTCTCCTTTTCGGGCAGAGAAAAGTTGATACTTGGCGCTTTGAACTTGGTGGTTGATACTGTATATCCCATTAAGGAGAAATGTAGATACTCTTGTTCTGTGGAGACGTGCCATTCCCGACCCAACTCAGAATGTGTCCTAAGTTTCCCGTTGTTGGCAAAAGCGCTTACAGTGTCACGTCCTGTATGCGCATGCAACCCAACAAACCTCTAAGCCAACAGTAGCAGCAACCTTCCTGTTCTAGTGGCACTCCTCTGGAACAATGGGGCCTCAATCTTGCAGCAGAATGCCAAAGACAACACTCTGTGTCTTCTGAGCAGACAACTACAGAGCAGTATGCCGGTGGCATGGGCAGCATGGGGAAGTAGGCGGCCATTTCTTGCTGAAATTGAAGAGCTGACTTGAAGAGCTGTGATTCTGTTACATTTGTCATTCACAGTTGCATACAGAATCTTCCCTTCCCTTCCTCTATTCATGGCTAACACCATATTTAGTTTATTACATTTTGCAATAAATTAAAAAACTATGTATATAAACATGGTATTAATTCTTTAGGTTTTGTAGAGGAAACTGTCAGTAATAGATAACAGATGCTAATTTTAACAACTTTTTTGAGAAACATATGGTCTGAACCAGTGTGAAGTAGCATTATTCTGTTCTATATTGTTTTGAAAAGTGTGTTTTGAAACAGGGTATAAATTGAGTGATAAAACACTAAAAGCCATCGCTGCTGCAATGCTACCATATATTTTCTAGCACTGGAGATGTATACTTTGCCAAAAATAACAATGAGAATAATTACCCCCAGATGGTACAGGTGGCCTGGCTCATGGAATAAAAGGAAATTTCACTAAAAATACAGTATAAGGGGCAGGTTTCATCAGCTTCTTATCCAACCTTAAACAGGTTTATAGTGTGTATGAAGACATTAATGAAAGGCCAATAATAGTTTTATGTCCCCTTTGTCTAAAATTAAAAAAGTCTGAACAGTGATGATCCCATATAACTTCTTCTCCCTCATGAATCTATTACATCCTGTGATTTTATGCACTCTGGATCTTTTGAAAAGCGATAATACAGTAACTCACTTTGTGCAAGATTTCATGGAAGGTCTCCTCTCAGTAGACATTTGGAGAAGTAAATACCCAGCTGGAATGGAAAGTGACTTAAGCACATACCGGTCTTGTGAGTGAGTTTCTGGAATATGCAATAAAACAAAACAAAAAATGCAATGACAGGAAACTGTTTTATTCCCACAATCAACACCTTAAATGAGCAAATGATGTTCTCACTGCTGTATATTTCCAGTGAGTTATGAGTTACTGTTGTCTCTAAAATCGTCTTATTGCTCACTCAGCAACATTGTTGGCAAACCACAAAATTATGAGCCATGTTTTCCTCTTTCTCTTTCTCAAATTAAAATTAACACTACAGACCAGTGTGAAAATCTTTGTGACTTTGCGGTTGGTGTTGCAGAGATGTTCACTAAACATAAAAGACAAATATGTTGAATAGTTTTGAAAACCATTGTAATGCTGGATCTCAAACATGGCAGAGAGGGACAACGGCCTCGGAGCCCCACATCTCCATCTCCAAAGCTCCAGGCTCACCGTGTAATGATTAGTTAGTGGTATTTTAATTTATTGCAATTTGTTTGAGACCATGCAGTAAAGCAGAATGTAAACTGATAAGAAGGATTTGTACACAGTCATGGGGCGCTGGGGTGGCCAATATATTATTTCAGCTGGAATCATGCTCACATATCCCTATAAAAACATATGTTTAATAAAATTACACAATAACATAAACTGATTTAAAGATAGCAATCCCTGGGAAACATAGAAGAATGAATACATATGTTTCTGGGGTTCAAGGCAAAATATAATGAATCTGGCATGTATAGTCTGCTGTGTGCACTGCAGGGGCCCACAGGTCAGTTTTGCCCCAAGGACGCCCACTGGGTTTTTAAACCGTGCAAACACACACTCAACAACATCACGCCGTAACCAAAATCACGTGCATCAGTACCTCAGTGGACACACTTATCACCATTAAGAGTGAAGTGACTTTGATGATGTGGGGGTATTTGTATGCTTTGGCATCTGCAAGTTGTGTTCTGGATGTTGCATGAAGATGGAATTGTTGTCCCAAAAACTCCTTCAACACAGCAATAACACCCAAGCTGACAGGAATGAATGTTTCATGGGGCGAAGATGAGCATGTGGCCCAAAACTAAAAACAAATGGTCCGAGCTTCATGTCCCACAATTATTCAGGATTGATAAAGAGTTTTTGCATAGCATGTGCTGCAAAATCTCAGGTACTCTTAAAAGATGGAACCCTGTGGAGTAATCTGTGACGATCCTGTTTCACAGTTGTTAATAGATCTTTGGACCCTGACACGTTTGGCCATAATCTATGGGGGTATTGGAAGTACTTGCATCCCGAGTGACTTTATATTTATGGTTAGTGTTTCTTCTCCCCGGGGTGTTGTTTTTCCTGTGGAACATGTGCCAAATTGCTGATTTCTTAGAAAACTGCAGGAGACAATAAATTGAGATTTAGGATTAAAGATGGAAAACCACTAAATAGTGTTGAATCCTTTAGCGCTGTTTTTTCCCCATTGTGCACTAATGAATAACAGTGAGACAACTGAGTTCCGGACCTTGAGTGGGTTTGGGATTCAGCTCACACAGACACACTTCTGCTGCAGACTGGTTCTCCTCCAAGATTGTGACTACTATCACCGTACTATCGCCTTGTTATAATTTAGTCCAGTAAAGAATACCATCTGTGATCCAGATGTTAACAAAAAGGTAGCTCCACCATTACAATTAGAAACTGTCACTACCAAATGTATTAACAGGTTTTTATAATATACAAACACTAGACAACAACTATATATATACTTCTAACAAAATTACTCATGTTTTTTGATGCTGTTAGGGTTTCTTTACCTAGAGGACAATGACATTGTTTTGCGAGTCACGAGTCAGGTCCAAGTCCTAAACTTTGAATTTCAAGTCTTAAATAAGTAGTTATTTTTGTCTGTCTGCTGGTCTGCACATTTTCCTGCTTGTGCAATACGATTGGCTGCTGTCAGATTTATTTAAAGTCTTGCCAGTTGCTAAGAAGAGGTGATTCGCTACACATTTATTAGTAATATATTATTTAAACTTTGGCCTTGTGGAGTCATTCCGAGTCAATAGGCTCAAGTCAAGTTTTTTGTTGTCAAGTTGAGTCTAAAGTCACCAGCTTCATAACTCGAGTCTCTGTCAAATACAGCAATTTTGGTCATTTTTGGTTGATACAGTCAACACTTCTTACTAGTGCTATAATTGTGCGTTTGCTCTTGTGTAGTTATATTATGAAATATATCAATTTATGTATTAATTGCTTTTAGTCTCCTGTTCATTTGTCACTGGTAAGGTACCATAAGTGCAGATCCTTCAGTTATCAGCCAACTACAGCTTTCAAAAAAACAGCTTTGAAACCCAAAATAATCTTTTTTTTTTTTTATCCCTTTCTATTTTTTTCTTTGCTTTTGATTTGATATATTTTTAATCTTATTTTTCTTTCCGCTGTTTATTACTTTTCATGTCACTATAGCACTGTTAACCTTAGACTTTTTCTTAAATTTTCAATGCTCATTGAGCAGTGTTTTCTTCAAATTGAATGCTTTCATTGTACGATACAAATAAAACCTACAAATGCATTCAGTGTGGCAGTATGAATGGAGCCTGTTTCCAGACGTCTGAGTCTCTGCCCATGTCTGTGATTTATTCAGCGATTAAGTGAAGTGAAACAAAATGGCTCTTCACTCTGATAATGAGGCTTTTTATGAATAAGACTTTGCTTGGATGGGCTCTGACACACTCACACACACACACACACACACACACACACACACACACACACACACACACACACACACACACACACGATTGTTGATTGTAAAGCTCTTATTCCCCTTTGAAGAGGAAAAACATAATCTCAGTCCATTATCAAGGAGCACTGTGTTCAAGGTTTAGAGAGATGTCCTGAGAAAAGAACATCTAGTTCCCATAAGCTCTGATTCAGGTGCAATAGCTTTGCCTTTGGAAATTGTTAATACACTGCCACCTTCTGGTCATAATTATCATTGGCTTTAAAACTCAAGAAATCAGCTTAGTACATTACAAATAAGAAGGTTCATATTTACATTTGAGAGGAGCAGATTGTTCCCTTTTCAAAGAAACATAATACACAGACAAAGCTTGATATCTTGAGGTATTTATGGTCAGTGTTGGGCAGTAACTTACAATAATATAACAGTAATAATAGTACTTTCCCCAGTAACTAGTGGTGTAACTAATACATTTCATTAATGATATTGCAGTAGACAGAAGTCGGTCTGTCCATTATTCTCCACTGAGCTTATGCGTCTGCAGATGCTTCAGAGGAGAAACTGAAAATGTGTCATTGTGGATTTTCTGCTTCGGTTTCACTGATGACCACTAGTAGGCCTCATGACCTTTCATCATCATGACCTTGTCCCCTAGAGTCAAAAAAAAGCACACAGTCTTATAAATTAATGTTTTACATTTTCTAGTTAACATCAGCTGGCAGTTTAAATGTGAAACTTTGGGATGAAACTTTTTTTTCTTGGAGCAGTAACATAAAGAGTAAATGTGGGAGGACTAGAGGGTTGTTTACCTTGTTGTTCCATAGTTTGATTTAAGTATGCTCTGTCATCATCCGCCTCTTCATTTCCATCTGTGTGTTTTTGATCAGATGTGTTCACATCTGTCTCTCCTTCTGTGTGTGTGTAGGTGTCTGTTGTTATCAAAGCTGTTAACTGGCAAATATCCTCAAAGCTCTCAGTAGAAAGTGGCCGGGATCTGTGTAAGAGGAAATCATTTCAATGCATGTATAAATGTATAGAACACAACAGTAAATTCTTTTCTCTATTATTTCTGTGCAAAAGACACATCTTTACTTGACTTTCTTCACCAGGAGCCTGGTGTGGTTTTCCTTCTCCTCCAGTGTCTTCTTTAACATGTCAACGTCTCTCTGATTTTCCAAGAGTTCCCTCTGAAGACGATGGTTAGTCTCCTCCAGAGTCTCACAAAAAGCCTAAACTCAGCACGACAGCCAATGGATTACCAAACACATTTAGCCAGTGAGGCAATATTTTGTGAAGAAAGAGACCTCACCCTACTTTCCTCCAGACTGTCAAAAGGACCTGGCGGGTCAACCAAACACAGAAAGTGTTTGACAGCTTCACTGGGGAGAAAATAGATTATAAACTCCAAATCAAACAAGGTTAAGTGCGATCTCTAAAGGAATCAGACTTGTTAACGCCACAACACCCACCTGCTGATGATGTCTTTGTGTAGCGTTAGGTTCTGCAGGAACGTCTGCAGCCCAATCTGCCTCTCCTCTAGAAACGCTTCATCATAGTTGTCTTTGAACCAGCGCTTAGAAGGCAGGGCTAGGCTAAAACTGGGAAACAGCTCTTTAAGCTGCAGCAAAGCAATGAAGAAAGGGGTTAGAAAACAGAAAAGAAACATGGCAACAATATCAGGGACAGTCAAAAGTGTTCATGGTGCCAAAAGCACTCACAGTGAGGTGTAGACAAGCGGAATTAAGATGAATGTGTTCTGGACTAAATACAATGTTTGGAAGCAGCAAACTGTGTAATCCTGCACATCTGTCCAACAGTTTGGACCCTGTGCTCTGAACATCACGTGGAAAAGAACAAAACAAGTGAGGATTCTTCCTCTCATGATCATTTCAAGTTTTACATGAGGACATATTAGAGGATTGTCATGAAAAAACTGCCCAAACCTCTGTCCATGCACCATGACACTGACTTTTTACTGCTGTTAACTGAAGACCATAACTTACTTGGTTCTCACCTTGTCACTGAGCCTGCTGAAGTCAGTGTATCTTCTGAAGATCACCCAGCTGTCTCCTTGACACCCTGTCACCAGGATCTTATAAACCTACAACACAGAAGCCAACACAAGCACCACAAATAAACTGTAATATCAGAAAGCATCTGCACTTTGTAAGTATCCTCGGAAAATGGGGAGTTTAAAGAGCAGCTTCTGTTGCAAAACACTAGGACACGCTCACATGTGTGACGGATTTTGCTCACATACACACACAAACACACACACACACACACACACTAGTTATATGTAAACAAGAGTCATATGATGCCCGTATGACAATCTGAAAACACAAAGGCCTGTTAACTCCTTACAGTGAACTTGGCCCTCTCGTCTAGGATCTCGAAGCCCAGCAGTGTCGGGGTGATGGGCCTCTCTGTCCACCCATCACCCTCCAGCAGAGTGGAGGACCCATCCAACAGGTCTCCTCTGGGTCTACACCAGGAGTCATCTGGGGTTAGAGCCCCAGCTGCAGCACCCCACGGTCCAACTCCTCTCACCGAGGAAATACTTCCTGGATACGAGGGCTCAGAGTTTATGGATGAAGCAGTATGTATTGGAGACCCCCTCTTGGTCCAAGACCTGTACGCTCCAGTCCAGTTCACGGGGACTGGGACTGGAACAAAGGGGACAGCCATCTGTGGTGGTCCTGACCTGGTGAGCTTTTGGTTCCGTTAACAAGAAAGAGTAAATTCATATAACCCACAAAGACAGAGTGTAGTAAACTACTCACACCAGCAATTTCTGTTCCTTGCCTGAGCTGTGTGGGGGATGTTTTGCTGACAGTCTTGCTGGATCATCAAAAGCCCAAGGCACATTGTGTGAGATCCACGTAAGCAGCAGTTAAAACGTGGTGGTAACTGATTTGTGGACACTCTCGGATTCACAAGGGTTTCAGATTACAAGAGACACTGCAAACATGTGCTTAAGTGTGTGTCATAAAAGTATGTTGGCCATCCCCCAAGAGATCCCTTCCTGTTTCGATAGAACACAAACAACAAACCTACAATGAAACGTCATAAAGCAAACAAATGTCTAGTAATAATATTTTGATTGGAGATGTATTAAATCAGGACCTTTTATGATACAATTGTAAATAGTGATATATAAGAATAAGAAGAATAAGGCAAGAATAAGGTTATTAGAACAGTATATAGGCACTGTTTGGATTGCCCTTAGTAATACTGTATATATTTAATATAAGCCTAATGGTATTTGGTATTTATTTATTGTTTATTCTTCTATGATGAAATTATATTACCCCACAGAATTACTGTGACATTCTTAGGATTTCTAGTTTTACTATAGCCAATGGTTGTTTCTGCACTTCTGATTTACTTAAATATTTGATTCTATTCTATCTATCTATATTATGTTTGTCTTATCTGCATGGACTATTTCATTATAATTGTGTGCTTCTGGTCTATATTGTATACATTTTATCAGTGTATTTTTTATTTATTTTTTTACTATTGCTAAAAGTAGCTTGTAGAGATGTGAGGCTTAACTTTAATAGCATGAAGTTTTTACACTTTGAGATGTATTCACACATGGCATCAACAATATCTCTGAGGGAAAACCCCACGTTTGGGAAATGCCCAACATTTAGAAAACCCCGTTATTACGAGTTAGGCTCAGAGGACGGCTTTGTTCAAATGAAACTGAAACAAAAAACTGAATTTGAAGCCTAAACAACGTAGTTATTCAAACGACCTATACATACTCCATCATCACATTTAGACCTGGCCCTGTCTGTAGGTCATCTCTGATACAGGAACTTCTGTACGTGCTCACTGGTCTGTTTGGAAAATCAGCACCACAATAAAATAAAGTTCAGCTCAACTGTCAGCAGTCAAACCACCTACGGCTTTGAACGCATCTCGCACAAAACCCGGAAGCGTGTCGTCATTAGCAACAACAAACCCACCTGCCTGAATGACACGGAGCTCCGCGGCTCGCTGTTGTTGTGTCTCTTGGACTCAGTGACAGCTGCTTACATGAAGCCTGGCAGCATACCGTGAGTAAACGGGCACATGGACGCGCGTAAGTTACGTTAAACTCTCGTCGTCAGGGTGCACGGAGTTGTTCGTCAGCCAACCGAGGAACCGTTTATCGGTTTCTTTTAGCTACATTCACGTTAGCTGAGCTTGCTAGCAGTCAGCGACAATATGACATGCCTTTAAGAGAGAGCTCTTCCTCATTGCGTTTACCAAAAAGGGGCAGTTCTGCTTTCAGTGGCTCACTTCGTGGATGATAAATCCTCACAGACTTCCCGTTAAAGGCTCACTAACTGCTATGGAGCCGTCCGCGGCTATGGGCTGTGTGAACATTGGCAGTCTGACCAGCACCTTGCCGGTGATCCCCTACCAGAAGCTGACAGACCTCTACTACCTGAGCAGGGGGGGCTTCGGCACCGTGTTCAAGGCACAGCACTCCGACTGGAGGACCACTGTGGCCATCAAGTGCCTGAAACTCGACTGTCCTGTTGGAGAAAGGTACCCTGTGTGGATGTGGTCGCCTCATTTTACAATTTAGGCCATGCACACTGTTTGGAAGACGTTTAAACAGCCGTCAATGTAAAGATAGATGCACTTTGAATTGTTTTATTCCAGTGAGATGTTACAGAAAATGTCAGCAGCTACTGTACACTGACAGACAACTGGTTCAGGTGGAAGTCACGTGAATCTGATGTTTTCATAGTGTTGCAGGTGTTGTTTCATTGCTCTGTCTGTATGTGTGTCTGGATGACATTGAACTCAAATCCACACATTTATAGATCATTTCATCTTTTGGGGTGCATTTTAATTTTGAGAGTGCTGTCGCTCCCTTACTCCACTGTGTAAGGATGGAAAGTTTATCTCACAGAGCTCCCTGTACAACAACAATGGACAAACAGCTACTGTAGTTTTCAGGCAGTTATTTATATTCCCATTTTTTTTTTAAAAACACAACAATATTTTTTGATAATGATTCATTAAATGTGGTTGATACAGAATAGTGTTAGCTATTTAATGAACAGGATGTTTCATGGTTGTAAGGTCAGTGCTCTACGGTAGGCAAACTATGTAACTCAAACACTGTTGCTAAGTTATCTTAAACATATCTTGGTGTTGTACTTTTTTTTCTCTATCAGCCAACATATATTCCAATATTGATATATTGGCTAATATCAGCTGGTATATTGGCTTGGCTCAATAATCCCTCAGGCTTTAATTGGTCCTGTTGTTGTTGCATCATTGCTTTCTCTTTGAACCAGCTGCCGGGTTGGTTCATTCAGTTCAGTTCAATTGAATAAGGCTTTACTGGCATAACGTCTGACATGTGTAGTAATTCTTACATATTTTGTGAACAGCGACCCATTACTCCCCTGTGTAATGATGCAGTGACAATTTGGGATGGACAATAACTTTTAGTTATTTTTTCAGCAAATATAAAGAAGTTGTTGGCCTTACCTAACACATAACAGTGGGTCACAGGTCACTGCTTCAAGCATCAGTTTGATAGTTTCACTAGTTAACTAAGTTAATATCCAGATTAATATTCTGGTAATGATTTCAACCAAATCACCTAGCCCACATAGCAGTCACCTTCAGACATTCATTCCTGCGGCATGCTTCCTGTTAATCTGTGTAAACCAGAAACACTTCAGATGTCATCACTTTTTGGAATTTCTGTCACTGTCTGAGAATAAAGACTGACTGATCTCCGGCTGTGTTTCAGAGAGAGGAACTGCCTGCTGAAGGAGGCAGAGGTGCTCCACAAGGCCAGGTTCAACTACATCATCCAGATCTTTGGCATCTGCAATGAGCCCGAGTTCTTCTGCATAGTCACAGAGTTTATGAGCAATGGCTCTCTGGACCTGTTGCTCCACGAGGTAGTTCAGTGTTATCAATCATTATAACACCAAGAGCTGTTCATTCTAGTCCTCACATAATAATCCAAGGCTCAATCTTAAGGAATTAAATGGATTAGGATTTAAAAAGACAGCAGCTTTCCTTAAGGCTTTATTGTCTAATATGTAACTAAATGGAAACAAAAAGTGGTTTGATTTGACTTATTCAGTATTGAACCACATAAAATAAAGTTGTATGTGTTATCCAATGACACAGTCACAGATATATTAAGAATACCTTAAACACTCTGTAGTTCTTGTTTTTCCACTTTTGTTGCCAAAATGGCTTGCGTGAAAGAGTCTTTGTGCTCTTTGGCAGGTTGCTCCATATCTAGCTCTGTCACCTTTATGAATCACTCATCATGTGCCTGTATGCCATTGAATTCCTGCCTGTAAGACGGCAAAACTGAAAGTTGGACATGATGACACTTTGAAACAAGTAGGGCAACAGACACACAGGAAAGCAGACAAATATAGTTAAGGGAAATTCCTACTTGTATTGGGGTTGTACATTTTCTAACCCTTTATTATTTTATGGTCTTTCATAGCTTTGGTTTATAGTCTAAATAAAGCTGAACACATCCTTTCCCTCTGCACTTGTCTAAACACATGTTCTATTGACACTTTTATTGATATTTCTTTACCTGTCTGTTGTCTCTGCCTACAGAAGGACATGTACCCTGGGCTTGCCTGGCCTTTGCGACTCAGGATTCTGTATGAAATTGCCCTGGGGGTTAACTTCCTTCACAACATGAACCCACCGCTCCTACATCATGACCTAAAGACACAGAACATACTGTTGGATGGGGAATTTCATGTGAAGGTATGTGTGCCAGTGGGAAATTGTTACAGGATGAACTGTACGTGAATATGAAAACAAATGTTTTAGTATATTAGAGTGCGGTTGTCTACTCATGTTACTTTCATTATTACAGTGTGTGTGAGTGTGTGTGTGTGTGTATGGTAACATATTATCTCACATGTTCAGTGAATTTCCATGTTGACCAACAGGAACCATATTTTACTGTGAGAGCTGAAACAATTATTCGACAGAAATAAATCAGCTTATTAATCAATAAACTATTTTGATGGTCTTTTCAGTCATTGTTCAAGTAAAATGACACCAATTCTCTGGTTTTAGGTTCTCAAATGCAAGGATTTGCTTCTTTACTTTGTCATATATGACAGTAAACTGAATATCTCTGGGATTTATACTATTGGTCTGTTAAAATAAGAAGTATGAAGATGGGCTCTGGGAAATAACAATAGGAATTTTCACGTTTTTCACAAATTTAAACAAAATTATTAATCAAGAAGATAATCAGCAATCGATAATGAAAATAATTGTTAGTAGGGACCCTAATTAGTCTACCCTTTATCTTGTAGAAAAAATGCAGCTTCAAAAACAAAGAAAGTGAGTCACTATTATGCAGAAACAGGACAATAGCGGAAGTTTTCGGAGACCCGATCAGCTGTCATGTTAAAAAACTTTAACTTTAACTTTAAAAACCTTTTCAGATTGCAGACTTCGGCCTTTCAAAGTGGCGGCAGCTGTCCGTCAGTAAAGGCTCAGGGTCCAAGCCCACAGAAATGGGGGGCACAGTGATCTACATGCCCCCTGAGAGGTACGAGCCATCCAAGAGCCGCCGGGCCGATGTGAAACATGATATGTACAGGTGAGACACCGCAGCCCAATAACTAGTAATTAGAAATAATTTTTATCCTTAACATGAGTTCAGAGTTATTACAGTTCAGTATTTTTCATTGTTTTTAATTCAGTGTAGTTTCCAGAGTGGGTTTGTTTGTTTCATTTTCTTTTTTCTTTTTTAAAAATGTTTAGTTTAGTTTTTATTAGTTATTTTTAGATTATAATATGTGGGGTGTTGAAAACACATTGACTCACAGTCATTCAGACATTTTAGTAAGCTATAATTACCCCGCAGTTTTATCTACATATGTTTTAAGTATATGATGTTCAGTTGCTCAGTGGTCAGATTATTGGGCAGAATTTGTGTATGGATGAACTCTTGATGACTTTATTGCACTATTTAAAAACTCTGATAGAGTAAATATTTACTCTGATAATGTTTACTGTAATAGAGTAAATATTTACTCTGATAATGTTTACTGTGATAGAGTAAGTATTTGAGAGTAAATATTTGCCCTATATTTGATATCAGCACAAGGTTTTCCTGACTTACAAGGTGAGACAATGTGCCAGCATCGGGTTGGATTGTTAGCATACTAAAACTGTCGTGCCGGGAAATGGTCCGATTCCAGGAATCTGCCAGAGAGAGGGAGTGGTGACTATTACAAAATAAGTTTAAAAAACGTCTGATGAATCCACTTTCCTTTGTGGCTTAATGTGAATCTTTTGTGGATTGTGGCTGATGCAGTCTCTCAAGCTCTTCCTCAAAGCAGCCGCTCTGGTTAGCTGGTTGTAAAGTCCCCCAGCCCTGGAGGGGAATACCAGTCGAACAGAATGATGTAACTCTAATTTCCCTTAACTGATTCTCTGCATGGTGTTTATATTGTAGCTATGCCATCATTATGTGGGAAGTGCTGTCCAGGCAGATTCCGTTTGAAGGTAAATTTCTTAATTATATCACACTTGATTTGTCACTCTCGTTCTGTTCAGTTGCTCTCGGCGTTTGAGCTTTCGTGGTGCTTCCTGACTAACCACTGATTTATGTGTGTGTTTGTGTGGTCAGAGGTGACCAACCCCATGCAGATCATGTTTAGTGTGCTTCGTGGGATGCGTCCTGATACGAGTCTGGACAGTCTGCCCGCTGACATCCCCAGCAGAGAAACCCTTATTTGTTTAATGACCTGCGGCTGGACCTCTAACCCTGATGAACGCCCTTCCTTCCTCAGTAAGCTCACACAGGAATTCATTTCTGGCAGAGGATTACAGATTCCACCCTCTCAAATGATTGCACTGTATCGGTTTGACCTTTGTCTCAGTTCGGGATCACATCAGTCTTCATGTTGGGTAATAGGCAAATTCTCCTGGTCAGTGGTGAGTTTAGTGGCAAAGTATCAGCTTCCTGTCATATCACTGAACTCTTTTTGTAAACAAGAACAAAACCTGTTCCTCATTCACTTCAGGACAGCAAATGGTAAAGCTGAAAACCTGACAAAATGTTGATATTTTAAGCTTTGATGACATGATAAAAATGTGGTTAAGACAAAATAAAACTACAGTATAATACAAATTCAGAGTCAAAATACTCAAGATTGATTGCTGCATGTCACTTTAACTACTCTTTATAACCAAAACTGATCAAATCAAAGCCACTTTTTGAAATTCAGAAGATAGAGCAGATTCATGAATGTGGTTCTTTTTTCCATTCAGTCATTTCATTCAGACATTTATAGAAATGTTTCATCTCATTCCCAAATCATGGACAGTACCTACTTACTGACACATGTCAAGACAATAATCGTTGTCAATTACAGGACAAAAAACTGAGTGCACTTTATCTTCTTTCTTTCTTTCATTCTCTCTCTCTCTCTCTCTCTCTCTCTCTCTCTCTCTCTCTCTCTCTCTCTCTCTCTCTCTCTCTCTCTCTCTTACACACACAAACTGCAGAGTCACTGCATCACAGTTACAATACATACTGCAGCATACGTGACGGAAAGAATGAAGGGCTTGATCATCATTGTCATCATTTTCTTGCAGTAAATGTGCTGAAACCATAAAACTCAACTTGAGTCACCAGTGACTACACCCCCAGTTAAGGGAGTTATGGCAAACAAATCACAAAAAAAGTGACACCAGTTAAAGCTGTTTTTATCCTTTATTGTTAGTTGATCTCATAGTGTGATGTACCGTTAAGGTGTGATGTGTTTACTGCCATTTCAGAGTGTTTGATTGAGCTGGAGCCCATGGTGAGGAAGTTTGAAGAAATTGACTTCCTGGAGGCCGTGTTGGAGATCAAGAGGTCAAAGGTCAGTCAGAAGACAGTTAAAAGTGATTAAACATACAATATGTAATTGCTGCCACTAGAGGCATTATGAAGAAGCGTGGAATCACGGGAGTTGTCTTCACCATCAGTGCCGCCGTTGGAAGCAGCGTCTCCTGGTTAGTTTTCCTTCAGTGTTCATTGTTCAGGAGGTTTTTACTGGGAGCGGAATCATCCGCAGAGGTCTCCTCCTCTCCAAAACAAACAGACCCACTGACTCAAACAAGTAAAAACACTGAATAAAGCAGTTTCAACTTAAAAACGTGTTTCAGTTGCTGTTTGGTGGACAAAGGACGCCTTGAAGTGTTGTAACTGCCGCTAACATTAGCTCAGCCCGTTTCTACCTTAAGATCCAGTGACTAAAGTCCTTCATCCAGTTAAAATATGTAGTTAAAAACAAATAACGAAGATCTAAAAAGTGTATCAAAAATCCAGCCTTAAAACTGGAAAGTCTGTTTATGACAGATTCTGGCAGACAACACCAACACCAACGCATGCGCAAAGGGGACATGAAGGGATATTTGACCAACATTCAAAACAACATGTTTTTTTTAGAAGGAGAAAAAGCCAGAAACTATTCCTTGCTGGTTTTAGTTTCAAAACCAGCGAGGAATAGTTTCTGGCTTTTAGGGTTTTACTTGGTAAACGAACAACCAGTTCCTCTTCACTTGGCTAATTTACCACCTCACATTACAGAAGCAGTTTTATCTCTCAGCTTATACTGTAGGTGTTCCCTTTTACTGAACACTCAGCTGCTCCACAGCAACTGTTGGCTGTATGGGGAAGGTCAAAGCAGTAAACGTGTGTATTTCTGTAAGTGAACAGAACTGAACAAAGAAAACAAAACTCACGTTCTTAGTTGGTTTTCCTTGGAAACAATGATTATTACACCGCCTGAGGACCTTGTCTCGGTGGTGTTAGGTAATAATAAACTGCCTATATAGATGAAGAAAGGAATCTCCCTGTTCCTAAATACATTGTTACTTCACAGCTAATGCTGAATACTTAATGTGAAGGTCACATGTTAACTGTGTGTAATTTGGGACAATTTGAATTGTACTGTGACTAAGAGAGGATGACAGGTCAAAATGTTTACTTCATAGTTTCCCCTGAACATATCCTTCCTCTTTTCTTTGTGTGTATGTGTGTGCACATGAGTGAGACTACGGTTTCCAGTTTTCAGTACTTAAAACTGTTAGTTGTAAGTTTTTTACCATACTCTGTAAGTACAATTCTCAGCTGATCATAGTTAAAAATATAGTTAGATTTTTCTCTTGTTTACAGACATTACTGATGGAAACAAGCCTTAAACGACAATGGAAAACATTAATATTAATATTAAGTTGGGGTGTATTGTGTGTTATTTTGTAGTGCTTGTGTTTATGAGATGTTTCACATAAGAGCACAGACCCCTTATTTGAGATGATTTTATCTTAAGGAATCCCTCTGAGCAAATTTTCTATTTTTAGGTTTCAAGATTAGATAAGTCTTCATACTGATCAAACTTGGATCACTATAAATTACAACCCACTCTCTGTTGGTCCCCAAAGTCCAGTTTACCACTGTATTAAAACACCTGTCAGTCAATTTGGGAGTAATAGCACCTTCTTGTTGTGTTTTAATTGTTTATGCTAGTAATAAATAGTCTCGACATATTACTTATAGCTGATAGGAACAAGTGGTCTTTGGTGTACAGCTTTAAATTCAGATATACAGGAGGGCCCTTCAGTACGAGCAACACTTGAAGCCAGCAAGGCAAAATGTAGGAACTAGTGTAGTGAATATTTTAGTGTGTGGTCAGATACATGAAACCACCTCCACAAGCTGTTTTACTTAGTTTAGTAATTTCTTCTGCTTTTGTAAATCTAAAGAATACGTTCACTTGTGTGTTGTGCGGTCGGTGTTTTCTTGTATTTGAGGGTTTGTAAATTTGTGTTTTTTGGCTTTGGCATATTTGATTGGACATTTTCTTAACATTTTATTTTTCTCTGCTTTTCTTCGCTGTCAGTATGACTCATTCCCGCCTTTTTCTGTCTTCCTCTTCAGTTAAGGCGGGGATCAGGCTGTTGTTCAGCCCGGTCAATGTGTGAGAAGAGGAGTGAGGAGGGACCCTTGAACATGCTGAAGGACAGGCCCAGCCCCTGGCCGGTAGGTAGCTGAAATGTCTGGAAAAATCCGGACAAAGTCTAAAACATAAACAGTGATAATTGGGGATGCACTTCTACATTTAAGCCTTATGTGGTTTTGTGTTGGTGTTATCAAAGGTCGAATGTGTAACATGGAGAATCTGTTGGCAGAAATAATATATAATATTCATACCTATGCTTTCATTAGTGTATAATATCCTGAAAACTAGAATCATTATAGTTTTGTTATCTTAGAATGAGTCTTTTATATTGACATCCATGGAGTCTGCCATGTTTTTGCAGTAGCTCTAAACAGACAAACCAAACACTGGCTCTAGGTAGGGTGTATAGTAGCCATCACAATTTCTCCTTTGCGGTTGCAAGTGGAGGGTGAAGTGAGGGAGATGCCACTAAATCCTACACACTGGACCTTTAATGTCTGTGTGGAAATGTAAATTAAACATCACTGTTCTGCCACAGGAGAGCTCCACCTCAGGCTCCGGCTCTTGTTCCTCCCAGGACACAGACATATCTCTACCAGGCCCCCTCACTGTCAGCAATGTGGCACCCTCTAAAGGTAATTGTAACAGAACTTTATATTGGTATCACTGAACGAGTGGCTCTGCTGCTGTGAGCCAGAGAGTATTTCCTCTAAAATAATAAAATAAAAATAATAATTTTAATGCATTGGCATTGACTAGATCATAAGAGCATAGATAAGATCAGATATAAAACAAAGCACACACACACATACATATATATATATATGTGTGTGTGTGTGCTTTGTTATATATATGTGTGTGTGTGTGTGTGTGTGTGTGTGTGTGTGTGTGTGTGTATATATAATATAAGCTTTGTTCGCCATGTGGGTACATCACACCTCTTCTTCTACTTTTTCTGATGTAGAGGGGCTTCCAGTGTCATTCTTAGCTCATACTCTGGAGCCTCCTGAGTCTTTGAAGGATCACAACAATCTGAACGACCAGATTGCCAGACCCATAAATGATTTGAACAAAACCATCGAAACAGGCCAGCACGTCACTGATTACGAGACACGGTTGAATAACGTTACCCTCAAGCCGCAGCCTCAGCAACAAGGTATTAGCAGTTAAAGCATAATGGATGAAACGGATGATGATGATGATGTTGATGACGATGATAATAATAATAATAATATATTTCTCAAATGCTAACATTTACAACCGATCACACCTCTCCCTCCTCACTTGCAACAGATTGCTCTCCTCCCTTGCGGCACTCTCCTCCCTTGCGGCACTCCCCTCCCTTACAAGGCCCAATCGCCCAGTGGATTGCAACGCGGCGCGAGGATATCATCTCCCAGATGACAGAGGCCTGTCTGAACCAGAGCTTGGACGCCCTGCTTGCCCGCTCCATGCTGATGCGAGAGGATTATGAACTGGTGATGAACCAGGCCACGCGCACCGCCAAGGTCCGTCGGCTCCTGGACAACTGTCACCGGCACAACGAAGACTTCTGTCGCATCGTCGTCCGCAAGCTGCATGACAACAAGCAGATGGGCCTTCAGCCGTATCCGGCTGAAATCAGCTCGCCTACCACAGCCCTGCAGCCCAGCGCTCCGCCGCTTTCCATCTCCTACAATATCCCCAGGATCATGTAGCATCAATTACGGCCAAACGATAAACAATCCAGATTATAAACTTATAGACCAACTTTACACTACACTTACTGTTCCGTTGTCATCAGGATGGTCTACATGGTTCTCATTCGTCTTTCCCTCAGTGAGACTAAGGAACAGCTGGTTGAGCAAAATGAGTCACAGGTACAAAACTAATGGCTTTGAAATTAAATTCCACTCATCAACTAGAGACAAAAGGTTTTATTCTGTATAATCAGAATCAAAAGATTTTGACTGAATCAGTGATTTTATTTAACAATGTTATGGATTTAATGAGGTGATTTATTTATAGTCCCATTCATTCATTCATTCATTTTGAGTGAATGCAGGGTCTCTTTCCTCTCTCTGTTTGGTACATTATGCTTTTGTCTGCAAAGCTCAGTTACCATTCTCTAAAAAAACCCAATTATGTAGCCCTGTGTGTGTGCGTCTGTGTGTGTGCGTGTGTGTGTGAGAGTGTGAGTGAAGCCTTATTTGTAGAATGCAAACATCCTCAATACACTCTGAGTAAGTGACAGGAGGACTGTTAACATGCTGGTAAACGTGCATTAAGTCTTTGTATTGAAGCAAATGACTTACATTAAGTGAGACAATGTATAGACAAGTGTTGTGCAAGGATGAGCTATTGATAGCAATCTAACTATGTGGTCTATGAGTTGTGATTTTGGTAGACTGTGTTCATGTCATCATGGAAAGTTTTTTTTTTCCCTCCGCTTTTTTTACTGCTGAGCTAAAGAGAGTCACTGGGACGTAGAGTAAAGAGGAAGCTGAGATTGTAATATAACACCCAGAATGAGCGGGATGCGTGTGTCTGCATGTCTGTCTAGATTCAAAGGGGACCAAAGTAATCTGCCCTCGGATTTCTTTTGGTGTCCTCAATAGTGGCCTCACCTCTCAGTATTCTTAATAACACTTCAGACTAGTTCGATTTTGCACATTTAAAGTTTATCCATGGGCTCTGAGCTACGATTGAAAAATAAAGGTCACATTTTTGATCGTACTCAGCTTCTCAACAGAAGCATAAGACAACTGCAACATGTGAACGGAGAAGATTAAACCTGCTCTGCTTGTAGCAAACCTTTAGTTTACCTTCTGTATGAAGTTTAAACCGTCACTCTGCTCAGTTTGTCACTCTTGACTTATACAACTTTTTCTACTCTAGCTGTGCTTCCTAATCTTCTCACAACACCTGTTTATAAAATAACTCATAAAGACAGTAGCACCAGTATTCACCAGTGTATAAATAGGAGTAGCCGCCGGGTTTGTTGTTGCGTCATTCATACATACATACAGCATTATGTTCTTTGTGCCAAACAAAGTTCAGAAACAAAATTATTTTTATGGTACAGTTATTACTTTCAGTCCTCTTTACAGCTTGTGTGTAAATGTGTGTGTGTGTGGAATAAGACTGCAGCTAATGATTATCATTGATTAACTGGACAATTATTGTCTTGTTTTCGGGTCTTAAAAATGTCCACTCTTTCCCAGAGACCAAAGTGACATTTTCAATTTGTTTGATTTGCTGATCAGCAGTCCAAAACCCAAATATGTTTAATTTACTGTCATAGAACCAACTAACATTCACATTTGAGATACTGGAACCAGTGAATTTTTTGATTAATCGTTTCATACCTGAGTGTATGTTGTGTATGTGCATTTAATTTCACATTAAGGGCCTTTCTGTCTTACTGTCACTGCTTCCACTTCCACAAATGGGTGCTTTAAATTAATGTAGCTGTGGCGTTTACTGCCTGTACCTGATCTCTAAAGAATAACCTTTGTTTTGTTGACTTTTATCTAAGTAAATGCACTTCATCCTTTTTATTATGTGGATACATATGTTACCCACCATTATGTCAATGATAATAAGTAAATTGCTGTTCAATAAAGGATGTACATCATTCTTAGTGACAGCAGATCTTACTCAGTGGTATTATGTCATTTAAATGACAACAGGAAGGCCAAGCAAGGTCGATATGCTTCCATAATGTTGGACTTTTACCTTGTCTTTGATAACTGTGCCTCATATTCTGCTTTGGTCTCAACTATAGTAATGTGCAAAAGCCTTTTACACACATATCAAGCAAAGTTGAGTAAAATGGTACAGATTTGATAGCCTAAATATGTTGTAACATATTTTGTACTGTAGATGTTAAGTGATGATTTTAAATTCATAGAATTGCCTTCTGCAAAATACCGGCCTGATTTAGAGCCCGTCATTATCACTGTTAGTTGATCAAACAATAATATAATGTGTTACATAAAGTTCAGTTGATGTGTAACTGTGGTTTCAACAGAAACTAGGATTTTTCATAAACTGTATCAAACTCTTCAATAAAATAGGTTCTGTTTGTACTAATTTCTCCTTTTTTCTGTATTTCTTTAAATGTAACATTAATCCAAGGACAGTATTTATTAGCACAGTTAGCTCATATACTGTTATCATCTATATGAAGCTGCTGATTTAAATGCCAAAAACTAAGGGGGTCTATGTTTAGCCAAAGCCATGGATTACTGAACAGGCCTACCGGGGACAGGCTCAGGGATCCCCTGGGCTTCACCTGCTAAATGTTACTGACAGAGACACCTAACTGCTACAAAGTGACCACAAAGAGATACAAAGCAACTACAGGGAGACATAAAACAGACACAAAAAGTCTCAAAACTGCCAGAAAAAGCCACACAGAACAACCACAAGGAGATGCAAAGACTGCGAAGCATTGTAAAAATGACCATAAAGAGACACAAAACAACCACAGACAAATACAAACAACCACAAAGGGATGGAAAATGATCTCAAAATAACACCCAGAATGAGTGTGTCTGCATGTGTGTGTAGATTAAAAGTGGACCAAAGTAATGTGCCCTCTGATTTCTTTTCGTCTCCTCAGTAGTGGCCTCATCTCTCAGTATTCTTAATAACACTTCAGACTAGCTGGATCTTGCACATTTAAAGTTTATCCATCGACTCTGAGCTACGATTAAAAAATTAATTTTATATTTTTGATTGTACTCAGCTCAACCTTCTGTATAAAGTAAAGTTAAAACCGTCACTCTGCTCAGTTTGTCACTCTTGACTTGTACAACTTTTTCTCCTCTAGCTGTGCTTCCTAATATGCTCAGATACCTTTTTTATTACCTCAAAATAAAGCAAAAGAACCACAAAGACATTAGAAAGGACTGCAAAAAAAGAAATTTAACAAGAAGTTGTTCGTCTCTTTCAATCTGGGTGTCTTGCTCCTGTGTAGGAGGGGTGGAGGAGGCCCATTGTCTCATAATCTGAATGTGTTTAGCAACCTGTCTGAGTGAGTAATAGAGAAGCAGCTGTTGGGACAATTACAGTGCATCAAAATATTCTTTAATGACAGTATACATCACATTATATTCACTATCATACAGTCTACAGACTGTGTCCTGTATGTTGACCCAGAAGCAGCTTGGCTCCATTCCCTCTGTCTTGGCTCCCCGGGGGCAGGGACGAGGTCTGCTTGTCTCTAAAAATAGCATGGGGGGGAACACGAGAGTGCGGTTCGCCTGGTGCTGGAAAAACACTCATTGTGGTTGTGCTGGGCTGCAGGGATTGCAACATCAACCGTCCTGTTGCTACCACTCAGATGTGATCTCACCGATGTCTCACTTGAGAGCAGCAGCGCTGACCTGAGGGAGACTACATGTCAGACGAACAAATACACCTGTTGGTCTTCTCTAAGTAGAAAAATAAAGTAAGCTCACTTTTTGTACTTTTTACACATTTGCTTTTCATGTCATAAATACCTACACCTTAAGTATGTTTTGTTCCTGCCTGGATGCATAAAGAGTGGACTATGGGGACAAATGTTACTGGGAGATATGGACACATGCATGACCTTTTCTTCTTGATTACTTAACTCTGGTAACCATTCAGTTTTTATCTTTCAGTCTTAAGATGTGTGGTTAGACATTAAAGTATATTTAACAAATCATGTCATATTTATATGGAACAACTGTGTGCTTTGAATGTGAAACTGGAATAATCCCCTTTAATTACTGCCCTTTCATCTCCACATCAGCACTGGACTAATGGGGGATCTGAGGCAGAAGATGGGGGTCATGTTACAGACAATATGCCCTAGTTCACGGGCTCCGTCTGATGAGGACTTAAAGGCCCCAAATAATGGGAAAGGAGAGAAAATGCAGATGAAGAGAGAAATCTCCCTCATGAATGGAATTTGCCTCATTGTCGGCAACATGATTGGCTCTGGGATCTTCGTCTCACCGAAGGGAGTACTTATGCACAGTGGCTCTTACGGGCTGTCGTTGCTCATTTGGGCCATTGGAGGCATCTTCTCAGTGTTTGGGGCGTTGTGCTACGCAGAGCTCGGCACCACCATCACCAAGTCTGGAGCCAGCTACGCCTACATCCTGGAGTCGTTTGGAGGCTTCCTGGCTTTCATTCGCCTGTGGACGTCCATCCTACTTATTGAGCCAGCCAGCCAGGCTGTGATTTCACTGACCTTCGCCAACTACCTGATGGAGGCTTTCTACCCCACCTGCCAGGCGCCATACGATTCTGTCCGGCTTATTGCTGCAGCCTGCCTCTGTAAGAAACACTCCTGTGTCTGAATGAGCAAGAATTAGACTGTGACTGAGAGTGTAACAGTGTAACAATATAAACTCTAGGTTGGGTTCTTTTATCCATAAATGTGCATCATCTACTGTGAAATATAACAGTCTGTGGAAAATACAGGCGGAAAAACTCACTTTACTGCCTTCTAGTGTTTGAAAGGTTCACTCTGATGCCCACTTAGGCCTCACCCCAGTTCCTGTTGCACATAGAGAAAGACTGAGACAAAACACTTACTTACAATTCCAAAGAGTTTCATTAAATCAAACAGCATTTTTTTATATTATTTATCTTTTTTTTCAGCAATAGGCATTTAATTAACCTTTATGGCAAAAGAAGCTAACCTGCCAAAAAGTGACAAAAACTGCAGTTCCTTGAACGGCCACTTGAGGCTGGCCCCATATTAAAATGCCCAACTTCACAGCAGAAATAAACATGTTTACAGCTTGGTACAAAAAACGGTTTCAGCCTTTATAGCTCCATGTCCATGACAACTGTAATGGGGTGAATTCTTATTGAACTCACCCGCTCAGATTATATTAAAGATAAAAGTTATGCATAATTAAGGGAATGGCCACTTTGAGTGACAGGCGGGTGCCGTCACAGGCAGCTTCATTCAGCACGCCTCACTTCCACCCCCGCTCTACGGCTTTCCCCATTTTTGGATCAACTGGGAGCTGGCAGAATCAGGACTGCCAAGTCGGTGACGGCTCACCACACTGAGCTTCACAACGGCTCTTCCCAATAAATCCCAATATCACAAACCATATCATTTTAATTTGCAATACAACACCCTCTGTGCTTAAACCCTCAATTCGAATAAGGAAAAACTCCCCAAAAGAACCCTTAACTGCGTGGTTTTTATTGTGAAGCATACACAGGAAATAGAGCTTTAGTACTACCTATTAAGGATGACATGGGCATGTGTGTGTGTATGTATGTGTGTGTGGAACTGGCATCAGCTATAGTTAGACTGCCTGTCCAGTCCTGTAAAAATACCACCGTGGTTTACAGCCAGCCTTTGTGCTGTGAAGAATATAGTTAGCAGAAGTGGTATTTAGGTTAGAGAGCAGCAATGCCATGAGTCATCAAGTTTCTGTTTCTGTACCCTCATACTGAATGTGGACCTCGTGATACAGAAAAGATGGTCAGCGATCTTGGGCATGAGGCTGAGAGATAGCAGGCTTCTGCTTGTTTCAAAATGAGTTCTCAGACTGACCAACATGGTTTACCATTGTTTCTAAATGATTTCTCTTTGTCTGCTGTGCAAATGCCACCACTGAAGAAAGCAGAAGCTGTACGAGAAGCTGTATTAGGCCTCATTTGTATAAATTAACATCTGAATCATGAAGAGGAAGGTTAATTCATTTCCTTATTCCTCTGGTTTGTCTAGGTATACTCATCTTCATTAACTGTGCCTATGTGAAGTGGGGGACTCTGGTCCAGGACATTTTCACATATGCCAAACTCATGGCACTCTTCCTCATCATCATTGTAGGAATCCTGAAAATATCCTCTGGTAAGATAACATAAAAGTACAAATGCATCAAAGGGAAACGCCATAAATTTACACAATGTGCTTTAAACTTCTCACTTCTTGTGTAGGAGCAACAAAGAGCTTTGAGAGCCCATTTGAGGGCTCCTCCACAGATCCTGGAGCCATAGCTTTGGCCCTCTACTCAGCTCTCTTCTCCTACTCCGGCTGGGATACACTCAACTTTGTCACTGAGGAGATTCAGAATCCAGAGAGGTAAAACAATAAAAGCCTCTCCATGAGTTGTAGGTGAAAGTGAGTCACAGGATCACGATCAGCTAGTTGTGCTTCAATATTTTGTTTAGAGGCACGTGACTGTGATTGACGATGCTAGAAATTTTGAATGAGGAAGTAAGTGAAAGGCAGAGAAATGGATGAGATGGAAAGGGAAATTGGCCGTGGAGGTTGAACTGCAACTTGAATAAATATCATCACATGAACCATGTGTATTGTGTTTACTGCAAGTTTTCAGTGAGTCATTAATCACTGTGTGTTGTTGTTGTTGTTGTTGTAGGAATCTACCCCTGGCCATTGCCATTTCCATGCCTATAGTGACCATCATCTACCTACTGACCAACGTGGCGTACTATGTGGTTCTGGACATGCCGTCTCTGCTGGCCAGTGACGCTGTCGCTGTGGTAAGACACCAACAGTCAACAGTTAGAGATAATTCACTCTGCTGCTAAATATAGTCCTGCTCTGCTTAGAAATGGTTGACCTGAGACATTGCAGTCTGACTTCAGAAACTAGAGTAGAAGTTGCTTGCATGATGTGAGTGAATGAAATGTGGACAATATAATGGTCTGAGCCACTGATAAACTGACTTCTTTGCCCAGAGTGCGGAGAGTTTGTAATAACCCATGTTAATCTGACCCTGCAGACATTTGGAAATGCAACGCTGGGTCCTTTCAAGTGGATCATCCCTGTTTCAGTGGCCATGTCCTGCTACGGAGGACTCAATGCTTCCATCATTGCTGCCTCGCGGTAATCAGGAATTACTGCACAGATGCTGACTTTACACTCACATTTGAGTGCCATACCAATAACCATCTTTGTTGATCACACAGGTTGTTTTTTGTCGGGGCCAGAGAGGGCCACCTCCCTGACAGTCTGAGTCTGATTCACATGGAGCGCTACACACCTATACCTGCACTGCTGTTCAATGTGAGGACCGCTTACCTTACTCTGAACTACAAATGAACATCAGATTACTCACATGCAT